GACCCCCAAAAAAACCCAAAAAAGCCCCAAAAAGTAACAGCTGGATTAGGACCCTGCTAGGGTTAGGAAAGACCAATCTGGCCTGAGCACTGTAGTCTGAGATCTTCAGCAAGATATCCCTAGGAGAGATATCTTTAACTGCCCCTCCTCTTCCTCATCCACCACCCCCTCCTCCGCCAAAGGGAAATTGGAAAATAGGAGGCAAACAATCACTATAAAGGGATGCACAAAGAAAATCACTATAGGGAGCAGGGGAGCATTGTGGATCTGTCCACATTCAGTAGGAAGGAAGACGAAGTTCCCTTGGGTTCCTGACTTAATATGATCAACTGCATCAGACATGTTTGAAGTACAAAGGTATTATCACCCATATCCTCATCTCCACTGACAATAAGAGAAAAAAAGAGAATGTGACCTAGAACCTCAGTTCTCACAGGGCCGTCATCATTTTTGATGTCCTTACATTTCAGCAGCCAGACTGGCTCCACATCTCCATCTTCAAATAGGGTTTCTATTTAGCAGTGCAGACTCAGTCAGTTTCCCAAAAACGGCAAAAAGGAAACCCCAGGGGACACTGGAACAATCAAGGGGTAGGGGAGGGAGAATGATAGTGGTCTCGGGCTTTATATTCCACTGCATAACCAAGACAAATTTTATGACAAATTTTTGGCCATAATGTGGGGGTATGACCATTGTGTAGAGTTTTTAAAAGCTTTGTATTTTTATATCACTTAATCACTTATTTTTATATATTTTACATATTTTATTTGTGCTAGGGGCTGGAGTGATAGCACTGTGGGTAGGGCGTTTTCTTGCACACGGCCAACCCGGGTTTGATTCTTCTGCCCCTCTTGGAGAGCCCGGCAAGCTACTGAGAGTATCCCGCCGCATAGCAAAGCCTGGCAAGCTCCATGTGACAAATTCGATATGCCAAAAACAGTAACAAGAAGTCTCACAATGGAGATGGTACTGGTGCCCGCTCGAGCAAATCAACGAACAACAGGAGGACAGTGCTACAGTGCTACAGTAACTATTTGTGCTAGTATTACTGAAACAAAATAAAACAGAGTGCAAGAGTTAAATGGTGGTGATGATTATTTAGTGAAACATAGTAATTTTCTTTTCCCTGAAAAGGGAGTAATAAGCCCAAATTAAGTCTGGGAACTTCTGCACTGAAAGAATAACTGAATTTCTGAAAGGTGAGTTAATGAAGTAAGAGAGGTTAGGAATGAATAAGACTTGGGAATATTGGCCTAGTTTATGGGCACTCCAACCACACAGGGCAAAAAAGACAGCTGTAAAGATGTTGACAGAGGCTTAAAATGTACAGCCCCTTCTCTTGCCTTTCCTTTTTAATAACAAGAAATGTGGTTCTTGCACAATGCTAATGGTGTTCCTTGCTGTATGCCCCTTATTAGCCTTGAGGAATATACTTTTAGAGCAGAGTGGATCTGTATTTGAATCTTACCTCTACCACTTACTTCTTTACCTTGCCAAGAAATTTTATAATCTCTCTGGTCCCATACTCTTCCCTTTAAAATGGAGGCAATAAATTGCGTTTCCAAAGGCTACTGTGAAAACTAAATGAGACAGCATATGCAAAGAACCTGATGTAGGGCAGCATTCCAACACTAATATTAGGTTTTACTAATCACAGAAGTTATCACAGTACAGGAAACAAGTATATCTAGGTAAGCCTAGATATGCTCTAAACAAATATATCTGGACTCTCCTTAGAATGTGTGTGACCTAAACTAGAAGAAACAAAAGAGTACTATGAAATTGGAATAGGTCTCATCTGCTAAAGATGAAGTAGGTATCTCCAAATCTAAGGGGATCAGAATATAGTGAGCCAAGAACTGAATGATTTTGATCGCCAAATTATAATAACTGGCAGATAGAAAGCCTAATCAGTATGTTAATTAATTGGGACTGGTTGGTATAATTATTATCAAGACTAAGCAACTGTTTAAGTAAGACAATATACTTTTACTAAGGACATATTTGCTGCCAACAAATTACAATGTGCTCAAGTCCAACCTTATTTTTTTTGTCTTCTCTAGGAATCCAGGAACAGTGTATATTTAATTGTACCACACCTTTTATCTGTTCTCAAATTAAGAAGGAACTAAACAGCACAAGGAACATATAGTTTAGGAATTATAGATGCTCCAAGGAATAAAACCGAGATAATTTGGGGTTTGTACGGCAATGGAAGCCATAGGAAGGACTGAGCTCATGACTGACAGAAGTAGTTCTGTGGGATCTGGTGAGGTCTGAGAATATGCAAGAAAATAAAGAAAGAGCATAGTAGAAAGGCAATTAGGTGAATAAAGGGCCCAAGTACAAAATAATTCTTCATATTCAGGATATAGCACAATGACTGGCATAGAGAAGATATCTAGTACTTATTTGTTATCTAATTTGAAGATGAAACAAAAACTATGAATGAGTGAATGAAAAGACCTGCTCTGAAAGAAGAAATGATAAGCTGAGAGGCAATAGAGAAGGGGTCTGGTCTAATACATGAATGTTAACTGATGTGCATATTACTTGTACTGTAACTGCAATCTCAAAAGTCATTTGACATGAGGGGTTGAAGAAGAAAACAGTAACCACAGCTCTCCCCATTTCCATGCCAAGAAGCAAGAATGAGTCAGTAGTTCTCCCGCTTCCACCTACCATGGCATGGATTGTTTCTGACCACTTTTCTCTTGGAATGAGCATGAATAAGCGAAACACTTGAGAGGGGTCCATCTCTGAGGGGAACAGAAACCTCAAATCCATAATTTTCAAGCCCCATTATTTTAAGAGAGTAGTCAGTGATTAAGTATTAACCATGCAAGCTACAGGTCCAATGGAAAAAATGTTTCATAGCGAAAACTCAAGATCAAGAAATAAATTAGATTCTAGACTAGCAGAGAAAATCCTACCAAATAAAGAATAGGGAAAATTGGATTTCCTGGTCAATTTTACATTCACTGAAACAGAGGCACCTGTGGTTGGATGCCTGGTGTGATCTGAGCTTCTTCCAAATCTGTTAAAGTGGGACTTTCAAAGAAAGGTACATTGGAAGAGCAGTGGGGATACAGACAGAATAGAACTCTGTGTTTCATTATATTTTTTAAACAGCAGCGTCTATATTCCCTTCTCTCTCATCATTTGTGTCCCATATCTTTTACTTTGGTATCATAGGATCTGGCTTCTTAGAAAAAATATGCATGAATCACCACCAATTATATTTTCTAGGATTAAACAGAGAAGTCACTAAGCTCAGCATTATAGCTCAAGAGGTCTAACAGCCTAAGTTTGATATCTAGCACCAGTTAGTCCTGAGAACAATCAGGTGAGACCTTTGCCCCCCAATGACAGCAACAATAACAAGAAAATAAATTATGTTAAAAGATTGTACTGATACTAAGAAAGACCTTTCATGGTTCTTATGATGCAAGCAACGTCTAATTTTTTAAATTTTTTTTTCTTGTTGGGTCACATCCAGTGATGCACAGGGGTTACTCCTGGCTCTGCACTCAGGAATTACCCCTGGTGGTATTCAGGGAACCATATGGGATGTTGGGAATCAAACCCAGATCAGCTGCGTGCAAGGCAAATGCCCTACCTGCCATTCTATTGCTCCAGCCCCAAGCAAGGTCCAATTTAAGGGGAATGTCAGCACAGTAGATAATGAAGAGGCATCCCACAGTATCTTCTCCATGTAATTTCCAGCCAACCAATGCAAAATGTAAGTGTGCCTCAGCTGCTGAGACAGATTAGTGGATTCTGCCCCATGTGTCAAGAAAATAGATACTGTCCAAAGAGAAGATGTAATAGCTTGAATGTGATCTTCCTTTGACATTTGACCAAGACAAAATTAGTGCATTAAAAAAGAGAAAAATTTTGATCAAGACAAAATTGATGAATTAAAGAAGAGAAAAATTTTGAAGTTAAGAGAACAAGTCAGGGGAGAAAGAACAATGATATAAACACTTCCACTTAATTTACAGAGCAGCTAACATTTTGCTGCTGTTGCTGTTGTTTGTTTGTTGAGTCTCTTAAGCAGTGATCAGGAGGCACAGGACCCTTTCTTTGTGATTCTTGGCCCACCAAACAGATGGTTTAGTGCTAGCCAAGGATGACGTGCTTCTCTCAGATTACCTGAGCTAACATGGAAGTGCTTGGGGTTCTTAGGGCAATGTTTGAAGGGATAAGGTGCTGGGTGGGGGGGAGGTATAACCAGGATCAGTCACATGCAAGGCATGTACCATAATACCTGCATTATCTCTTTGACTCACTTTTATTTTTCAGTACAGTTTCAATTACAATCAAAAAAATTCAAGCTCAAGAAATGTGCTAAAACCTCCTAAATTTTTCTTGTAAAGTTACCAATCTGGTAGTTTCACCATTAAGCTAGATTATAGCATTCATCCTAACTAAATACTGTTCAATAAATAAATGTGAGATTAGTTACATTATTTGAAAGAAAGGGACTACATCTCTAAGGATTTTTATGTAGTATTTTTAAAATATCTTGAATGATAATAGAGAAAAGTAACCCAAAATACAGTGTTTTCCGATAAAATTATAGAAATGGTAATAAAGAAAGCCAACCGAAAGATATAGTTTGTTCTCCAAGTACAAATAATCTCAGCAATGCAATTAATTCTTCTGAAAAACAAGTTTTGGATAAGACACATACTATTCATCATGTTTCTTTCATCTTTAATTATGCTTCTGACTTTCTTTCAAAAATTTTTTTTGAAATAAAAAAATTCTTTGTTTTTTTGGTCACATTCAGTGATGTGCAGGGGTTATTCCTGGCGCTGAACTCAAGAATCACTTCTGGTAGTGCTTGGGGGACCATCTAGGAAGCCAGGAATCAAACTCCAGGGCTGGCTGCCCTGCCCACTGTACTATTTCTCTGGTCTCTGAAAACCTGACTTTCTATGTAAAAGTGAGCCTAAGGAAGCATGAGAACTAAAGTCACTCAGTTGCCCACTTACCTCCCATGATTTTGGATTGGCAGTTAATAAACTCTGGCTTCCTGTCTGTGAGGTACCTCTGGCAGGTATGGTGGAGGATCTGGAAGAAGGTGCATTTTTCTGAGGCTGTGCTGGCTACCCATTGGTCAAAAGCATTTTCAAACAACAAATCAAACTCTGCAGAATCCTGAAAAAGACAGAGAAATAATTATTGATCTCAAATCTATAAAACCCATGGATGCTAGCTTAACCTCTCAAAAGATATCCAGGCTAAAACACCTTTCAAAGGCTTTAGTTCTAATCATAAGGCTCATCTTTATTAGTGCCAAGGAACATGGAGAATATATCTTTCTCTGTTTATCAGGAAACCACAAATCTCACATTATTTATCGATGTATCTAGAAGCTAATATCACAGAAGACCCTATAGCCTCACTACACATTCACTTACATCAGAATTCAGATGACATCTGCTTTTCCAGTGGCTACTTGAGAATAGATTCTTTCAGGTTCCTGGTACTGAACCATATTAACATTGCCTGAAGTAACCCTCAGTAGAAAAAGAGACCCCTTCTTTGTTATCAGTTCAAAGTTACATTTTACTTTCCCTCATTATGGGTGTTTTATATGATAAATTTGTGTGTGTGAGCAAAAGGCACTATACTTACAATAGATAATACTACCATAAAACTTTCCTTTATTAAATCAAACTTTTTAAAGTGCCATTTATTGATGTGACTTCTATTAAAGAGCTTCATTATGGGGGCATAAGGAGATATATGAAATTTCAGGGATAATGATGTTGCACAGTAATAAGCATGACCATGATCCTTTGATCTCTGCTCTTTGCATTTTGCTCGTAAGTACTATGACTAGAGTGAGTACTTCTTTATTATGCCTTCTTTTTTGGTTTCCCATCAAGCATAAGGAAAAGGTGGATAATTCCCCATAAGAATGTCAAGGGCTGGAGTGATAGCATAGCGGGTAGGGCATTTGCCTTGTACGTGGCCGACCTGGGTTCAATTCCTCTGTCCCTCTTGGAGAGCCCAGCAAGCTACCGAGAGTATCCGCCCACATGGCAGAGCCTGTTCAGCTCCTTGTGGCATATTCGATATGTAAAAAACAGTAACAACAAGTCTCACAATGGAGATGTTACTGGTGCCCGCTCGAGCAAATTGATGAACAATGGGAGAACAATGCTACAGTGCTAAGAATGTCACATCAACTAGAAAGTCTTCAGTACAAAGGAAATAGAGAAATAGCCTTGCTGAAAATGATGGAGACCATCTCCTCAGCACCCTCAGCCAATGTGTGAGCGGCATCATGGATAAAGCCTGGCTGCTCATCCCCAGTGATGTCCTACTTACCCGGTTTGGATCAATGCCATTGACCTGGCGAAGCTGCTCCAACATCCACTGTGATCTCCGCACAAATGATGTGGAGCCTTCAAACTGCTTGACCTTCGTGATGGACGCCTGTGTGGGCTTCTTGTTTGTCACTGTTTAAAAAGAAAAAAAAAAGACAGCTCATATCAGGGGTGCGCAGGCTAGTTGGTCTCTTCCTTCAGTGATGCAGAAAACTGATGCCTACCTGTGTCCATGCAACCAGAAAGTCAGGGAGGGGGCTGGAGAGAAAGGACAACAGGTAGGCTGCTTGCTTTCCAAGAGGCTGACCCATGTTCAATTCCCAACATCCCATATGGCCTTCTGAAGCTCCGCCAGAAGTAATTCCTGTGTGTAGAGTCAGGAGTCACCCCTGGAGCATCTCAGAATGTGGCCCCCAAACAAAACAAAACAAACAAAAATAGCCAGGAAGAGGTGAATAAAAGAATGAATATCTGAGCCTTTGGGGAGGGCCAATTCCAAAGAGAAAGACTTTCTCATCCTCACTTCAGGCAGTTACGTTATAATTAAAATTCCTTTTATGTCTTATCTAGTCAAAAGAAACATAACCTAATAGAATAAGATCAAGTCTCACTAATGGAGGCGGGCAAGCAGGCAGTTACTGTCTGCCTGGGAGTGTGCAGGGCTGACAGGCATCAGATAAGGGTCATTGGGAAAGGTTAAATTTTAAAGAAAGTGGAGGTTACTGACTCCCTCGAAAACCCCAACTCAAATGTAGAATCCAGTGTAAAAATTTCAGGCGTTTTTGAGGATGAGGAATGTATAACAAAAAACATAAACAATCCCTGTGCCCCCGCATTTTGGTTTAAAATACCATCCAATGAATTATGTCCCTGCAGAAATCATTATTCATATTATTTTAAGCTAAATAAAAATTTAAAATACCATCCAGTTTGAATCTAGTTTGCATCTGATTAATACTATGTTCTATATTTGGAGTTCTGGGTCCCCTCCCTCTGTAGGAATTCCTGAGGTCTCTGAGCCCCCCCCATCCCCCCACCCCCAGGATAAGGAAAATTCCTCCTCCAGCCCATGAAACTCTTCCTGAAGCCCTTTTCTGCAGGAGATGGCCAGCCCAACTTCCCAGACAGAGCTCACTAGGAGGGGCATAGCTCCATTCCCAGGTCTGTGCAATTCTTGACTTACTTCATGCATGCAGAGGTAAGTGTGCAGTTTATAAATGCCTTCTGAAAGCTTCTCCTGAGTCCCCAATGTTGTATTCATAAAACAAAATAGAAAGGATGGAACTAGAAGAACTAGAAGAAGGGGAAAGTACTGCCTGTAATGAAAGCCAACCTGGCAAGACCGTATTTGTGGCACGTTCTTGGTTTCAAATAACCCTGCAGATATCATATGTTAAGGAGACTGTACAGAATGCTCAACCCATATAAAAAAGAATGGTCAAGGTTCAAGACAGAACACACCTAATCCTAGGCACTTTCCATAGTGAGTGGCAAGAACTCAGCTTTATGAAGATAGATCAGTCTATTTTATTTATTTATTTTTTAATTGAATCACAGTGAGATACAGTTACAAAGCTGTTCATGATTAGGTTTCAGTCATATAATGTTCCAACACCCATTCCTTCACAGGTGTACATTTTCTACCACCAATGTACTCAGTTTTCCTGATGCCCCTCCTTCCCAGACTCTATGGCAGGCATCTCTCCTCTCTCTCTCTCTCTCTCTCTCTCTCTCTCTCTCTCTCTCACACACACACACACACACACACACACACATTTTCTCTCTTATTCTCTCCTTAGCTCTCTTTCCTTTTGGGTATTATGGAGATCTCAGTTTCTGGGTTTCTAAAGCAGAAGGGCAATGGACTGTAGGAACCCACCCATTCCTCTGGTCTGGTGAAAACCCTGGGTTAACAAGACACAACAGTTTCTATAAACTCAATTCAGTCTTCTTTTTCTCCTTATCAGAACTTAGCAAACATTTAAAAAAATATTTTTTCAAATAATGCTTAGGTTTATTACCCATCATTTCTGTTATATTTGGATAAAAGCTTATGCACATTTCATACCAATTACATTTACTTTCATGCTTAAAAAGTCATTATCTCTTTACCACCCACAATCAGAGGGAATTTTATCTTCTATTCACAAAAGACCTGCAGCTTCATGTACGAGTCTATTAAGTACCATTAGGAAGAAGCATTCCACTAACTAAATCCAGGCAGTATTTCCAATCTTTTCAGGGCTCTGTTCATTTAATTTCATTCATTCATTTATTTATCTCCTGGAACACAAAAGGGAGATCCAACATATTTCTCGGATAGTCAGGCACTGCTCTTATGTTTTCATATTAAAGGAAACAACACACCTGGAAAACCTGCAGGTCCTAAAATGTGCTCCAAAGATTAAAGGATGCTTTTCAATAACAGGAAAACATGGGTTCCTGTATTAGACACACCCCCTTAAGCCCACAGAGGATTTCCTCCTTTGTTTATGTAAATTACAGGACATTTAGGCATCCTGGGAAAATGAAGCCTTGCCTTCTAACCAGTTGTTATGAACTCCTAATTTTACTTCTTGTCCATTTGTTTATAAATGGCTTACAGCACTATAAATGCACACACAATGCAGCAGGGCTGTAGTCATTGGCATGTTTAGGATTCAGTTCTATTCAGTTTGCCACTAAAGTGCCAAGGGCAGGAACCCCACCCACAGGGCAAATGCTCCAGGGAATTGCTCCACAGGACCACATTGTAAAGCGATTATTGTTTGTGAAGCCAGTTACAACTCAACCATTGCTGCTTTCCCCTCCTATTAATTTATTCCTTGCCCAGTTCTTGTAATCTGGGTAGCTTTCCTGGGCATGGAGCCCAGTTCAGTTTAATTTTTGTTTATTGCTACTATCTCCAACATTCCAATTTCTATTTTGTAGCAGGTGCCTTAAAATTATATTATTATATACACATTATATAGAGTTAAATTAAGACTTTCTTCTTCTGAAATCAAAACACTTGCACAAACATCCCATTGGCAGACTTGCCCAGTTCCATGCTTGAAGGAACCATGTTTTCATCCCTTCTTTGTTTTGGTCTTTAGAGGCTCAAGGGATGGTTAAAAAAAATAGTCAAAAAGTCAGACACCCAGTGAAAGTAGGAACTTGTCTTCTTCCAAATGAAAGCTAATTGATAGCATAGCCTGGAAACTGCAATAAAATGATTTGACTCAGTAAGCTTGTAATATTTTATTTGCAAGTAGCTCCATATTATAGACTCTGTAGCCTTTATTTTGACTAACTGTAAATCAGATAAGGCATTTCCATCAAGCCGTCAACAGTCATGAGAAAAAGGTAAATAAATATAAAGGTATTTAGAGGGAACAGATGGGCATGATAATCCTGGGTAATACTGCTAACCACCCATAATCAGACTTGTTCTCTGGTTCTCCTTTCTGACTGTAACTTCGGCATCACTGAAGGTGGAGGGTGTTTACCATGAACATACCCAACAGAATCTTCAGGACTGTGACTCTAGCAACCAAATTTAAGTCTCCCTAGTTGATTGCGGCAGGTGAACTGCTGGAAGCACTGAGGTAGTGTATCTGCTCATTTAACAAACACACTTGGAATATCCATTGGCTAGAAGTCACAGAAGCATATTTTTGTTTTGTTTTGTTGCCACAGTCAGAAATGTTCAGGAGTTATTCCTGGTTCTGTATTCAGGAATTGCTCCTTGTGTTGCTTGGGGATCATATGGATGCCAGGGATTCACCTTGGGCTCACTGCATTTGATGCAAGTGCCCGACCCACTGAACTGTTGCTCTGACTCCCATAGAAGCACATTCTGGGGGCTATTTGACGATCAAGAAAGATGTGGCTCTGAAATAAGAAATTGGACAGAGTGGGGGATAAAAGGAATGTGAAACAGTCTAATAGAAGAATAGGGCAAATTACATAAAAATCATCTAAGGGGTAAGAGAGATAGTACAGGGGTTAAGGCACTTGGCTTACATGTGCTCAACCCTGTTCAATCCCTGGCACCACAGGTGTGGCCCTCTAACCACAATGTCAGAACTAGTCCTGGAACACTGCTGAGTTTAGCCTTAAACTCAACCCCCTCACAATAAAGTCATCTGAGCTTCTGCTGATGTCAGGATAGAGAGTACTTGAGGGTCTAAGGAACAACTGAGGACAATCAGAGAGAATTTCTTAAATAGTCACATTCCAGGCAACATGTTGCTAGTCCTCACTTTATTTTCAAACTGGCTTCTCTGATCAGCCTCAGCATGCAAATGGAAATAATATTGATCCACCTGTTTAAAATACCTCAATAGAATCCCAATGCACTCAGAGTAAGATCCAAGTTTCTTACCTGACTCTCAAAGTCCTAGATCAGGGCTTGTTAAACTTTCCCCCTCAAGGCTCCCTATACCCAAGACATTTCTATGTGATTCCGGGTACATAAAATAGATGATACAAATAAAACATTGAATAATCATAAATTTATTTTAAAACAAAAACTTCTAGTCCAACTCATTTATGTAACTTTATTGAGGGTTGTAGTCCACAGTTTCAGAAGTCAGGCTCTAAGAAAACCTGGCCCTTGAGTTTGCTTCCATTTTCATCTGGTTCCCCATCTAACATATGTCTCTCAGGCCTGCCAAATTTTTTTCTCAGGAAACAAATATCTACATTTTCGCCAGTACTACTTCTTTCACAGAGATAACCCTCCCTGGCTTTTAAATAATGGTTGCTTGTTCACTCTTTGGATTTCAGCTCCATAAGTCAACCCGATAGAAAAAAAATTTGGTGTCACATCACCCACACATAAATTTCTCCACTGGTTTTCTGACCTCTGCTTACCATGAAAGAGGTTAATTTTCAAGTCTGGAAAAAATTATCCATGTTTGCTACTCAGATGTGTTATGAAGAACAAAGACCAGAGAGCTATCATCATTCCATCTAGTCATCTTAAAACATGTAAGACACAATTAAATACTTACCCTGCTAACTCCCATGTAGGATTTGTGATGTAGGATTCTATAAAAACAAATTACATTTCCATTGACTCACAATGTTTTTGAATCACAACTTCAATTTTTTGTCTTCCCCTTCACAACAGGTCTGTGATAGAATCA